GGAGAGGAGGAGGAGGAGGAGGAGGAGGAGGAGGAGGAGGAGGAGGAGGAGGAGGAGGAGGAGTACCAATACCTCCACTCCCTAGACCTTTCCCGAGGCGCGTTCCGACGAAGACTTCGAGGAGGCTCCCGCCGTGGCGCATAAGGGGGCTCTTCCGCGGTCTCGGCAGGTCTAGGTCGTGCATATTATCCTATAGGCGGATTTTGGACGACAAGTGAATAATAGTCAGAACATACTCAACGATATTCAAAACTAATCGAACACTCGTTCCCTGAGTGTTGCTGGACGATTCTCGAATCTTCCTCCTGTAGAGGGACATGCCCGACTTACCGGCAGCGCTCCTCCCCCCTCCGAGGTGCCGCTCGGGAGGCTGCCGCTCGTGGGACGCCTGGGAGGCGAAGCGCAGGATCTCCGCGGTGGCGCGGCGCCGCAGGCTGTCCACGGCGCCCCAGGCATCGCTCGCGTCGCTCAGGGTGTCCTGCGTGACCTGCTCCACAAACTGTCTCGCCACCTGTTGAGCAGGGACCGACCGTCCCGGCATTCCTATAGTCCTACCACGGTATGTTCTTAGAACCCCAACATGTTCGAAGAAAAAACAATGTTCTTAGAACATAAGCCCGATGTGACAAAACAAGACAGGCTCCGCCAGAAATGTTCTGAGAACATTTCGTGGAAACCACAAAAGGTTCTTAGAACATTCTTTGGTGGGGCTACAGGCGAGCCAGGACGCTTCGCCACTGCCTCGCCACCTGCACGCGCTCCCTCCCCCTGGGCGTGGAGCAGGACACTCTGTCGATGACCGCCTCGCGGCGGCGCGCACAAGGGGGGTGGGCGCGAGGGGCGCGGCGTTCCGAGAAGGCGGGGGGCCTCTGAGAGGGCAGGGGCCCTCTTACGCAGGGAACCGGGTGCTGTGTGGAAGGCTCCGTGGAAGCCAAAGTGGCGTCTAGCAAGGCCCCTGCCTTCTGAGAATCATCCCGGGCGCCTTCCTTCTCAGAAGGCCCCCCCCCCTCGCGACACCCCGTCGTGCGCGCCGCCGGGCCTCCAGGATGGCCTCCAAGGACTGAGGGTTCACCGTCTCCGCGAGGGCGTCTAGGGCATTGGAGCCCTGCCCGAACAGCGGAAGATCTGGACCGACCCCGAGCCTTCCCAGCACCGAGCCTGGCTCGCTCTCGCTGCTGTCCGAGCCCTGCGCCAGGGACCACCGGCACTTCCTGTTGCGCGGGCCTTCGCTGTCGCTGCTGCTGGTCTGGGTCACCCCGGGGCCAGCCTCATATCTCTGGTCGTTCGCGGCGCGCCTCTGGCGCAAGGCAGGCATGCACCTTCCGCCGATGAAGGACGGCGGCCTGAGGCTGCTACCAATGAGGGACTGTGGCCTCAATGCGCCCACAAACGAGAGCAGCCTGCTCTCGAGGCTGTCCTGTATGAGCACCCTCGTTGCACCCACCACATCTCACCTCCCCTCGTCTCCCACAATCGGCGGTGGACAAACCTCCCTTTCGTAAACCTCCCCTTAGTGAAAACGGCCTGGGACCGAAACCGACGGACCTGGACCCGCACAAATGACGGCCGCAACGCCCTCTCGCGAACCGAAAACGGCCAATTCCTCAATCGACGTGTCAGGGCAGGAGGTCTATCCACCTGCGACACAAAGGAGACAGGGGGGAGAGTGTGGAGGAGGGGTGGAGGATGGTGTGGAAAGGGACGAACCGGGAAGAGGAAGATGTGGAGGAGCACGTGCGGGGGGAGGAGTGGGAAGAATGAGGAAGGAGGGGACGAGCGAGGAGGATGGGGATGGGGACTAGAAACGAGGATGTCAGAAGGGAAACAGTGTTTTTCGTAAGCGGGTGAATAAAAAGGTACGTAGAAGGCGCGAAGAGGGCGGGCACGGAAGCACTGTCCCAGGGCCAACAAAAGAAGCGGACAGGCTGGGTGAGCAACAGGCAAGGCAGCAGGAAGGAGGACATACCTACCGTTCGAGTTGGGGGTAAGGGCGGAGAGCGGGGAGAAGGGAGGGAGGGGATCGATGAGGGGGAGATGCGGAGGGGGAGGGATCGGACCGGTGGTTGCAACGAGGGTCTCTAATCCTCGTCCGCGCCGTCGTTCAACCAGAGCAGCAGCTCGCCGCATCGGTCGAGCCATGGCACCTGGAAGGAGGAGGGCAGGAAGGAGAATGAGCATGAGGAGGAGAAGGATGAGAGGAGTGATGAGGAATGAGGAACGAGGAGGAGTGACGAGGAAACAACAACAGAAAACAGAAACTGTTGAAGGGCCGCGGAGGTTTCTTGGATCGGCGCTGGATCCCCTGTCCCTGGAGCGCGCCAGGGGCGGCGCCAAAGGAGCCGCAAGATGGGCCCAGCTCCGATCCAAGACACCCGCGCGGACCTCCGACAATTATGTTTGTGCAGATCTTCTTCGCAAGGAAGAAGGACGGATGACGGAAGGAGGACGCACGGGGGAACAAGCGGGTACCGATACCGCAACACTCCCAGGACCTCTCGCGGGGTGCGTTCCGACCACGATATCGAGGACGATCCAGCCGTGGTGACGAGGGAAGGGAACCGGCATCAGTACCTGCTCCTCCGCTGAAGGCGGCGGCGGCGACGGCGGAACTGCGCATGGACCCCGTTCAACCAAGAGTCGGGGTCGTTGCCCGAGCTTCTGGAGGCCTTGGTCCCAGGCCTACTGGGAGCGGCCTCGACCGAGCGTGCCCGACCAAGCACGGCGAGGGGAGCGGCAGGCTCAGCCGAGGCACCAGGCGCACCTCAAGCACTCTCCTCGCCCCCCAGATCGGGGCGGCCGTCCTCGCGCCCTATCGGCCCTCGGTCGTCGTCGTCGTCGTCGTCGTCGTCGTCGTCGTCGTCGTCGTCGCCGTCGTCCCCGTCGTCGTCGTCGTCGTCGTCGTCGTCGTCCCCGTCGTTAATGTCGTCGTCGTCGTCGTCGTCGTCGTCGTCGTCGTTCGTCGTCGTCGTCGTCGTTCGTTTCGTCGTCGGTCGTCGGTTCGTCGTCGGTTTCGGTAGTCGTCGTTTCGTCGTCGTCGTGGGTCCGGTCCCGCCGCCCGCGGGAGGAGGGAGGAGGAGGAGGGAGGAGGAGGTGGACGGAGGAGGGAGGGAGAGGAAGGAGGAGGAGGAGGAGGGAGGAGGAGGAGGAGGAGGAGGAGGGAGGAGGAGGGAGGAGGGGAGGATTGGAGGAGGGAGGAGGAAGGAGGGGAGGAGGAGGAGGAGGAGGCGGGAGGAGGAGGAGGAGGAGGAGGGAGGAGGAGGAGGAGGAGGGAGGAGGAGGAGGAGGAGGAGGAGGAGGAGGAGGAGGAGATGGGGAAGCCTGGGGGGAGCCAGTGGAAGCAGGAGAGAGAGCCTGCCGCTCCACCACCAGCCCCGCGCCGCCGACGCTCGGCTGCTGCCTCCGCTGCAGCCGCGGCAGCCGCGGCGCACCCTCCCACCTCCCCGTGCGGGCGCCGGCGCTGCGGCTGCGCAGCTCCCCGCTGCACTGCCTCGACTAAAGAGGGAGAGGGAGAAACAACAAAGATGACTATGCGCGCACACACACGAACAAACTCACACAGACACACACACATACTTTCGCACAGGAACACGGACACAGACACAGACACAGACACAGCTACACACAGATACAGACACAGACACAGACACCCACGAACAAGACACAGGCACAGACACACACGAACAAACACACACACACAAACGCACACACAGACACACACCCACAGACACACACAGACAGACATACAGACACACACCGACACACACAGACAATAATAACACAAACACTAACACACACAGACACGCACTAACACTTTTTGATTCGCGGGTCGAGAGCGCACGTCTTCTGGTCGAAGCTAAGCGGGCCGCGCGAAGCTTGAATTAACCAGAGATGGGGGAGGAAGACACGCACAAACACACACACACACAGGTCTAGCCAGGCTAAGGTGAAACCGGGATGGGGACACCATGGGACAGGGACAAATCGGACATTTCAAGAGCCCATGTTTGTTACTTGCGACTCGCGATGACGCCCGAGACCGGCCCCGCTCCCCCCCTCCCATCCCTCCTGTCGTCACGACTCGCGCCGGGGCCGTCTGAAAATTAGCCATTTCCCAGACGGCGCTGGCGCGAATCGTGCCGTGACCGGCCCCCTCCCCCACCCCACCCTGGTCACGCCCCTCATCGCCAGGGAATGGAAAATTTCCTTCTGGAGACCTGGCGGCTCTGGAGGATGCATCGGGCGCCCCAGACCCCCGACGCCATGATTTTCTCATTGCGGCGACCCCTGGAGGTCTCGACCCAGTCCCCTGAACCGGTTTCTCATCCTGAGTCGTTTTTTGACACCCCCGAGGCCTGGCGAGGGCCCCTGGAGGCCGAAAACATGGAAAAACCTGCCGTCGTGATTTTTTCACTGCCCGAGGGGGGCTGGGGCCGCGGCCACTCCCGAACGCTCCGACACGCTCTGCGAGCGTCCTGGAACGCTCTGGCACGACGCATACCGTCTTGAGCCCGCCCGGCAGGCCCCTCCTGGGCCCCGGATCGGCGCATGCGCTCTCCTGGCCTGGCTTAAATCAGGCCTGTCCCCCTGCAGGGGTATTTTCGACGAAAAATGAAGAATACCCCAAGAATGATCCCAAAATGATCCAAAAATAGTCCGGGGACTACTTTTTGAATATTTGTGGGCCTTCTTGGGGTATTTTGGGGGTGTTATTTATTTTTCGTCGAAAATCCCCCTGTAGGGGGACACGCCCGACATAAAGCTTGGCCAGGGAGGCACATACACCGATCCGGGGCCAAGGTGGGCCAGGGCCGGTGCACGTGCATGGCGCGTGGTTCCCTCCCCCCGACTTGGCCTGAGCGTCGCCGGCTGCTGCAGAGCGCCCTCGGCCTCTGCAGGCGGCTGCCAGACCATCGCCGCTCCCAGACCCCCCTCGCGTCGCAACGACCTGCCGTTGCTCTGCTGTTTCTGCGTTCTGCTGCTCTCTCCCGCAAGCGATACGTTCTGCTGCTGCTGCTGCTGCTGCTGCTGCTGCTGCTGCTGCTGCTGCTGCTGCTGCTGCTGTGTTCGGCCTCTGGGGGCCCTGCCCTGCAACAGAAGGATCGGCTACGCGCAAGAGTGACCCTGGGTAAGAGTGACCTTTGGTGCGCGGCTTTTCGAGGGCCGCGGGGGGACCAAACACAAGCGCGCAAGACGCTACTGTCGCATCGCGTTCGGCGATCGGAGGACCCCAATGGGCCAGCACCAGAGGTCACTCCGGCGAAGGGCCTCTCTTACGCGTAGTCGACAAAAAACGACTCAGGATGGCATGCTGGTCCCCAGGGAACGGGCCGACACCCCTGGGGGGGTCCGCGTCGTGGAGGAATCACGGCGTCGGGGGGTCTGGGCCACCCCCTCCTCAGGGGCTTGCGGCCGGACGGCGAGAAACTCTGAACCAGAATGGCTGCATGGGGGGGTGACTGTGGGAGGCACGGAGAGGGGGAGAAGGCGGGAGGAGGAGGAGGAGGAGGAGGAGGAAGAGGAGGAAGAGGAGGAAGGGAGGGAGGAGGAGGAGGAGGAGGGAGGAGGAGGAGGAGGAGGAGGAAGGAGAGAGTTCTAGGGGAGCGGGCAACTCCTGGAGCGATCGTTCCAGAAGTCGCCTGGCTCTTAGTTTGATCACCCCCCCCAGGCCATCAGGAATCATGAAGCAAGTTGAGGAGGAGAGGAGCAGGAGCAGGAGCAGGAGCAGGAGGAGGAGGAGGAGGAGGAGGAGGAGGAGGAGGAGGGGGAGGAGGAGGAGGAGGAGGAGGAGAGGAGGAGAAGGCGGAGGCGGAGGCGGAGGCGGGAGGAGGAAGAAGTGTGGAAGAACGGGGGGCGGAGGAGGTGTGGAGGTACTTGGCGGGAGGGAGGAGGCACGGGGGGTGGGAGGAGAGGTGTATAGAGGGAAGGAGAGGGGGAGGCGGTGCGGAGGGAGGGGGTATGGAGGGAGGGAGGTATTGAGGGAGGCGGGAGATATAGATGGAGGAGAGCGGTGTGGAGGGATGGGGAGGAGGATCAGTGGAGGGATGTAGATGGAACGGGAAGCACTCGACCGGAGATGAGTTTTTGAGTCTGTGGCGCACTGTGAACTGCCAAGCAGTAGACTAGCGGGGAAGACAGCAAGAGGGGTGCAACGAGTACAGCCTTCTCCCTGCGAAGGGGGGACCCCGAACGCCGCTGATCGTTCACGGCGTGCGCAGCCGGCAAGCTATATCGGCGAGCAGCCGCTGTCTTGGGGCAGGTTTTGTTCTGCTCCGACGGTGGAAGTCCTACGGTAGTGTGAGGCACGCCGCGCCCTCTCCTCCTGGTTCTCGGCTTCCTCTCTCCCCCTGCTCGCTGCCCTCGGAGAGAGCTTACCAGGAGCGGGCTTTGAACGATGAGCGCCAAGAGGACGGTCTCTGGTCGTGACCGGTGGAAGTACGACGAAGCGCACGCTCACGCGAGCAACTGCTGCGGCAAAGGGCACCCATACGAACGACTCCTCCTCGTCGACATCCTCCTGCTCCTCTTGCTCGTCCGGCTCGTAGAGTTCCTGCCCCTCCTCTCCCGTACACCTCTTTACCCTCCACGGCGTATGACTCCACACGCGCCCGCTTGCACGCTTCGTCTGTTCGCGTCTGTTGCGGTGTTTGCGTCGTCCTCCTAGCTACTCGAAGAGGGCAACGGTCGATGAGACCATCGCCGCCGCTCTACGGCATCATACTGCAATGCAAGCGGAGGTCTCTCGTACGCATGGCCGCCAGTGTGGATCAATCTGCCGCTCTGGTTGTGAGAGCTTCGCAATCTGCGGGCCTATCAGGTCATCTACCTCGTCGGCAAGTGGAACGCTTGGAGTGACTTGGAGTACGTCGACTCGATGGGTTCCGCTGCAAACAGCATTCAAAATTAGCGTGGTCTGAGAGCAGCGAGCGTCTACACACACCAGCTTGCCTTACAAGGGCGTAGAGGTATTCCCGTGCATCTGTCCGCATGGGCAGCTGCGCCACAGGCGTCACCAACCTCTGGCGGACAATCATGGCATCTGACGAGCGAGATCCTGTGCACATTTTGCTCGTGGGAGTTGCAGCAGTTGTGGAGGCTGGAGCGCAATCCATCCGCACTGCACATCAATTGACTCGCTGATTCCAAGCGTGGCGTGTAATCGAAGGCCAAATACCTCGCGATGGTAGGCAAAACATTGAAAATGTGGACTTGATTGGAAGATTGCCAGGATCTGTCTGCGTGCATGCCAGGCGTAAAGCGGCACGTGCGTGCTTCTTCTGGACTCCGTCGTCACCCACGTACGGCACCGACTGGTTGGTGTCGGGCCGTGGACAAATGTGGCGATGACGGGCGTCGGAACCAAGACCGTGAGCATTCCGTGGAACCCGTGCGCCAGGCGTGGCCCCTGCCGGAGCTCCATGGTGCTTCACGTGGGGCCCGGCGCCACCGCGCGGAGCCCGCACCACCACCGCCACGACGCCGCCTCCCTCCGCCGTCCGCCCTCGCCGGTCTGCGGCACGGCGCCACGGCGCCGTGCCGCAGAGACCGAGAGGGCAGTCTTCGCCGAGGCTGGTGCCGAGCTCCGTGCTGTGAGCGACCGCGGTGCTCCTCGTCGTGGCGCAGGTTGTGCGAGGTCGGCCGCCACGGGGCCGCTTGGCGGCGGTCAGCCCTGCACTCGGGGAGCGCAGGCTGGCACAGGCGTGCGCCTGTTTTGTCTGTGGCTTCGGGCAGGTTGCTTGCATGGCGCTTCGCCAAGTTGGCGCGCTGCTTGGAAACGCTGCTGCTCCAGGGATGGGCGCCCGTTCACAGGCAAGGGGGGCGACTTTCTCGATTGGCGTCCGCGGGAATCCCACGCGCAGGCGGGTCACCCGGCCAGCGACGCGATGAGCGTTCGGACACCGTGGACCATGGATGCATCTTGACCGTTGATGATTCCTTCCCTTCGCGAATGCGTGGGGGCTTGATGCCGCCTCAGCGTGTACAGAGAGACGGGTGGTAACAAGCGCCCGTCGTGGTTAGCGCCCGAGGTCAGGGCAAGGGTTGAGCAAAACGAGGGCGAGCGCTGGGTGATGCCGCTGGCTTAATCCACTTTACGATGCCAGAGGGAAAATGGAGTTGAAATCCCAGGGCGAAGCCTTCCGGGCTGCTTCTGGGCTTCACGCTTTCCTTCATGCTTGCTGCAAGTCTTGGGGAAACACACGCACATACACACACATTGGGAAAAAACACACACACACACACGTGGGAAACACACACACACACACGCACACACACACACACACACACTCACACACTCACACACACACACACTCACACACACACACACACACACGCGCGTTTTTTTCCCACGTGTGTTTTTGTGTGCTTTTTCCCACGTGTGTTTTTTCCCACGTGTGTGTTTTTTCCCACTCTGTGTTTTTTTTCCCACAGGCTGCAAGCCTTGGGCGACTCCCCAAAGGCAGCGTTCCCAAGCGCTGCCGACGGATCGAGGTGGCTTGCCACTGCACGGGCCCCCGAGGCCAGACCGCCCCTGGACGCTGACGGGGGAGACGCCGGCAGTCGCCCCGGGAGGACGGCCCTCTCAAGAGCTCGGTGGAGGCGCCGGAGCGCTAGAAAAAAGCGACACGCCTGCTCTCAGAAGTCGTTGTCCATGTTTTTTGTCCTTTGCTGGCAGGCATCGGGGCCATGTTCTGCCACGCGCTGGCAGGAGAGGGAGACGCGAAGGACGACTCGTGACGGCTGCGCAGGTGCTGGCCTGCGGAGTACTTCCCGGTCGAACGGCCGCAGGGCTTGGGCGGTCTGGCTGGGGCCACGCGCGCTTCGTGGGCTGGCATCGGCGGGATTGGGCTACTCGGATCCGCCCTCCGGCCTGCCTGGAGTTTGTGGCACGCCCGTACCTTCTGCATTTTGGGTTTCAGCCAGGCCCCAGCCAACATCCCTCCTCCTCCTCCTCCTCTTCCTCCTCCTCCACCTCCGCCTTCTCCTCCCTGCTCCTTCTCCTCCTCCTCCTCCTCCTCCTCCTCCTCCTCCTCCTCCTCCTCATCACCATCACCATCACCATCACCATCACCATCATCATCATCATCATCATCATCATCATCATCATCATCATCAGCATCATCATCATCAGCATAACCATCATCATCATCATCATCATCATCATCATCATCATCATCATCATCATCATCATCAGCATCATCATACTCATCCTCATCCTCATCCTCATCCTCATCATATCACCATCACCAAAGCCATTACCATCACCATCACCAACACCGCCTTCATCATCATCATCATACTCATCAGCATTCTCATCATCACAATCATCATCAACACCATCATCATCACCACCACCATCATCATCATCATCATCATCATCATCATCATTATCATCATCATCATCATCATCATCATCATCATCATCATCATCATCATCATCATCATCATCATCATCATCATCATCATCATCGTGATCACCAGAATCATCATCACCACCCGCATCACCAGCATCATCATTAACACCACCACCATCATCATCATCACCATCATCATTATCATGACCGTCAACATCACCACCACAATCCTCCTCCTTCTCCTCATCATCACCCCCATCCTCCTCATCCCATCATCATCACCATCAGTATCATCAGCACCATCCTCATCACCATCATCATCATCATCATCATCATCATCATCATCACCATCACCATCATCATCATCATCATCATCATCATCGTGATCACCATAATCATCATCACCACCCGCATCACCAGCATCATCATTAACACCACCACCATCATTATCATCAGCATCATCATCATCATTATCATCACCGTCACCATCACCACCACACTCCTCCTCCTCCTCCTCATCATCACCCCCATCCTCCTCATCCCATCATCATCACCATCAGTATCATCAGCACCATCCTCATCACCATCACCATCACCATCACCATCACCATCACCATCACCATCACCATCACCATCAGCATCATCATCATCATTATCATCATCATCATCATCATCATCATCATCATCATCATCATCTACATCGCCATCATCAGCAACATCATAATCCTCATCCTCATCATCATCATCATCATGACCGTCACAACCCGCATCATCATCAGCTGCCTCATCCTCAATATCATCCTGTTCTTCGTCTAATGCAGTTGCCCCTCCTCATCTTCCGCCGCCTCCTGCTCCTTCGGTCAAAATGCCATGTTCATTTCTAGAGTTTGCAGCCCTAGCGGGCTCATTTCTACCTGTTCTGTTTGTTCCAGCCGAACATGACCCACAATCGGTGCACACCCACCTGTGCACGGTTGCGAGGGCAATACAGACGCCACTGCCCCCCGCCCCCCGCATATGCCCGCACATACCGTACAGCCCCAAAGAAACACCGCATGCGCGGGGCAGCGCCGACGCCAACACCCCGCTGGA